AATAATTCCTTAGCTCTCATCTGACCTCATCAAAAGTTCAGTCTCCAATTCATTAATCCTACCATTCTCTCATAATCCTTTAGTTTTGTGTCCTTCCATTCTCTCCTCATGCAGGTAAGAGCCTGTCATCTATTACTACAGTTCAGTGTTTGCAATCTCAGAAGTTTACGGGGTCAGGCAGAAAACATAAACAAGTGAAACAGGCAAGACAGAACATAGCAAGAATGTGTAGGGACATGGTGAACCAAATTGTGTTCCGTTGAAAGTCATTCGAATGCTTAGTTTTAATACAGTGGGCTAGCCAAAGAAAATCTGTCTCCAGGCTAAATTTGCCCATTCATCTCTCCCCTTATTTCCACTTATTGCTAACCTCCAAAACCTCAACTTTCGTTGAACTCACTCCCTGCTTTCTCCATGTCTGCATCCCAGTTGCTTCAGATTGTAGAAGGGAAAAATCATACCGTCAGGCTGACCATTCACTTTCAATTCCCATCCCGAGGTGGGCACTCCACCTCCCACATCCTGAGCATCCGTCCTCCCACACTTCCTAATAAACTTTCTGTTCCACTCTCAGAGATGACAATTTCATACTTTCTCCTCTCCACATATCTCCTTATTGGGATGCTTTTAGCTGCAGTAATAGACTTCTCACCCACAATGGCTTCTATTTATAAGAAATCCTCTCTCTAACCTCAGTTACCTGTTATCCTATTTCTTTCTTTCATTGCAGTCATTATAATCTACAATCATTTAGTTTTGCTTGCTGATTTTGGGTGTTTCTTTTTTTTTTTTTTAATTTCCCTCCAGCAGAACACAAACTCCCTGAGGGCAAGGACCATGCCTCTCTTATTCACCAAGTAGCTCCAGGGTCTAGAACAATGGCTGCCATATATTATTATAGCTACTTGTTAAGTAAGGAATTAACAAGGATGAGGACAAGGTTCAACATGTTTGAAATTCCGAGAAATTCGGGATAAAGCGTCGTTTCAGGTAAGGTCTAGAATAAGGCTTGGCAAACTTTGTTCAACAAAGGGGCAGATAATAAATATTTTCAGCTTTGCAGGCCATACAGTCTCTGTCACAACTCTTCCATTCTGCTGTGACAGCATGAAAGCAGCCTTGAGTAATACACATTGACTAGGACTGTCCAGATTTGGACCACGGTCATCGTTTGCAGACCCCTGTTCTAGATGAACAGATTCTTCGTACAAACCAAAATCCTGGGCTCATACTATTACTTGTGGGTGCTCAAGAAATGATATATGCATGCCTAAATTCACATCTGTACTATCTACTGAAAGGCAGCACATCAGAGGCGTTGAGAGTATGGACCCCAGAGCCAGGTTGCTCTGTTCAAGTCCTGGTCTTCACATACGTGCTTTGTGACCATTCCATTTCCTCATCCTTGAAATAGGGATAAAAACACTGTCTATGTTGTAGAGGTAAATGAGGATTAAATGAGGTAATCTTTGTGAAACACTGAGAACAGAGCTTGGCACATAAATGCTAAATGTATGTGTTGAATAAATGTGGAATGTGTTCTTGCTAAGCCCTTTGCAGACACTGTCACATTTCCTTCTCACAGAAGCCCAATGAGGTAGGTATAAGTATTATCTCCATTTTAAGGATATGGATAATGGGATTCAGAGACATTAGGTAGGATTCCACGGTCACACAGTTAGTAAGTGATAGTATTAGGGCCAGATGAATACATTTAGAAATAAAAAGCTCTGAAAAGTATAATGCATTTCTCATCCTCAATATCAATTCAAAATAAAGGTAACTAATATAGACTGGCTTCTGCACTGGTTTTAAAACACAGCTGCAAATATTCTGACACAATTCTCATCAGGAGGAATCCCCTCCTCTTGAATCTAGATGGATTTGAGACCGGGTTCGTGCCCCGGTCCGGGAAGATCCCACATGCCGCGGAGTAGCTGGGCCCATGAGCCATGGCTGCTGAGCCTACACATCCGGAGCCTGTGCTCCGCAACAGGAGAGGCCACAACAGTGAGAGGCCCATGTACCGCCAAAAAAAAAAAAGTTTACTACAAGCAACTATATGCCAATAAAATGGACAACCTAGAAGAAATGGACAAATTCTTAGAAAGGTACAATCTTTCAAGACTGAACCAGGAAGAAATTGGAAATATGAACAGACCAATCACAAGTACTGAAATTGAAACTGTGATTGAATAACTCTCAACAAACAAAAGTTCAGGACCAGATGGCTTCACAGGTGAATTCTATTAAATATTTAGAGAAGCGTTAACACCTATCCTTCTGAAACTATTTCAAAAAACTGCAGAGGAAGGAACACTCCCGAACTCATTCTATGTGGCCACCATCACCCTGATACCAAAACAGGACAACTTTACCACAAAAAAAGAAAATTCTAGGTCAATATTGCTGATGAACTTAAATGCAAAAATCCTCAACAAAATACTAGCAAACTGAATCCAACAGTACATTAAAACGATCATACACCATGATCAAGTGGGATTCATCCCAGCAACGCAAGGATTTTTCAGTATCTGCAAATCAATCAGTGTGATACACCACATTAACAAATTGAAGAATAAAAACCATATGATCATCTCAGTAGAGACAGAAACAGGTTTTGACAAAATTCAACACCCACTTATGATAAAAAAAATCTCTCCAGAAAGTGGGCATAGAAGGAACCTACCTCAACATAATAAAGGCCATATATGACAAAGCCACAGCTAATATCATACTCAACAGTGAAAAGCTGAAAGCATTTCCTCTAGGATCAGGAACAAGACAGGGATGTCCACTTTTATTCAACACAGTTTTGGAAGTTCTAGCTACTGCCATCAGAGGAGAAAAAGAAATAAAAGGTATACTAATTGGAAAAGAAGTAAAACTGTCACTGTTTGCAGATGACAAAATACTATACACAGAAAAACCTAAAGATGTTACCAGGAAACTACTAGAGCTAATCAGTGAATTTGGTAAGGTTGCAGGATACAAAATTAATACACAGAAATCTTTTGCATTTCTATACGCTAACAACAAGAGATCATAAAGAGAAATTAAGGAAACAATCCCATTTACCATCCCATCAAAAAGACTAAAATACCTAGGAATAAACCTACATAAGGAGGCAAAAGACCTGTACTCTAAAAACTATAAGACACTGATGAAAGAAATTTAAGATGACACAGATGGAAAGATATACTGTGTTCTTGGATTGGAAGAATCAATATTGTGAAAAGGACTATTCTACACAAGGCAATCTGCAGATTTAGTGCAATCCCCATTGAATTACCAATGGCATTTTTCTAATAACCTATATGGGAAAAGAATATGAAAAAGAATGGATATACATATATGTATAACAATCACTTTGCTGTACACCTGAAACAGAACATCGTAAATCAACTATACTCTAATATACAATAAAAAGTAAATTAAAAAAAAAAAAAAGGAAGCTCAATCCACCTGGAGAGGCTGTACATAGCTGCTTAAGTCAGTAGTCCCATCTGAGCCCAGCCTTGGAGTCATCCCTGCCCAGGAGCCAGACACGTAAGTTGAAAGTCTTCAGTCCCCAGTTATGGAGTAACCCACAGACATTAACTCTTCCCAGCTGAGGCTCCAGACATCATGGAGAAGACAGACCATCCCCACTGTGATCTGAGTTCTTGAACCACAGAATACACGAACATAATAAAATATTGATAATTGGTGGTTTATGTGACTAAGTTTCAGGGTGCTTTGTTAGCACACAGACAGACAGAACAGCTTTTTTTCCAGATTTTCCTAAACTAGAATTATAATTAAGTTCATCATTGCTGGTCTTCCTTCATTTCTCAGTGACCTTGCTTTGCTGCTCCCTTGAAAGTCTTTTGAATCACCCAGAATTAGAAAGAGCTTGGGGCTTCCCTGGTGGCACAGTGGTTGAGAGTCCGCCCGCCGATGCAGGGGACACGGGGTCGTGACCCAGTCCGGGAAGATCCCACATGCCGCGGAGCGGCTGGGCCCGTAAGCCATGGCCGCTGAACCTGCGCGTCCAGAGCCTGTGCTCCGCAACGGGAGAGGCCACAACAGTGAGAGGCCCGCGTACCGCCAAAAAAAAAAAAAAAAGAGCTTGGATTTGTACCCAGGAGGTCTTCCTTTGGAGAAGGCTGCTAACCCCTACACACTACTAGATACTCACAAGCAAATCATTTCATTTCTTTGGGTCAGTTTCCTCTTCTAAAAGCCTGCTTTGCAGGATTGCCATGAGAATCATGATACCATGGGCATAACACTGCTTTCAAGGAATTTAGACTCCAGGCTTACGGCAAGAGACCTGGGGCAAAGGGTAGTTTTAATCTTCCTGGAGTTCCACTCTTACAAAGAAGCACATTTGCCCAAACAAATCCATAGTGCTGATGCCACAGCCATCAGAAGAACAAGCGCGCTTCTCACCATACGCTGGGGGCTCCTAAAGGGTCTGCGTGCGCACGTGTAGGTAATTTTATAGTGGGCCAGCCTGGTGATGTTGAAACAACTCAAGTGTCTGACATGAAAGTGAGTGACAGTACTTGGAACCAGGGCCATGAAATGCAAGTACATTGCAAATCACTCGGTCGTGCTGTCAGGGGAATCGTAGTCACCATATATATTTTCTTAAATGTAGTTTCCCAGCAAACCTTTCATAAAATTCACGACTGTGACTGACCTCTGCTACGTGCTTGCCTCCACAGCTTCCCCTTTCCCCTCCAATATAACGCGGGCTTGTAATGCACGTGTGGCAAACACCATTGACTGGCTGCCGAATCGCCATTCCCAGCACCCTTCTCGCTTTCTGCCTCCTTCTAGAGAATCCTGAAAGCTGATACTTGCCATCCCAACTGCCCATGCAGCTAGGGGCAGCCAGCGTCCGTGAGGAACAAGCAAAAGTCTTTTGGGAAAGGTCATTCGTAAAATATTTTTCTTTCCTGCTATGACGATACATAAAGTCACATAAAGCCGGCACAGCCTTTCTCACTTACCCTTTCTCCTGCCTTGAATGCAGAGTGGACGCAGCTGTAGCAGCCACTTTGGGATAATGAGGGCAACTCCAAAAGCAGTATCTGCTCTGATTTCTTTGAACCAACCACTTTCTCTGGAAGAAAACACAGGTCCAGTTTGTGTAAGCCACTGGAATTGTATTTTTCTTTTACTTGCAGATGCAGAGAGTTCTAATATAAAACTTGTACCATGAGCAACTGAACCCTTGTCCTATGTGAGCAGGTAACTTTCCTTTCCCTGCCCCTTATGAGGAAGGTAAAACCAAAAACCCTTGAATGTAAAGTCACACTAAGAGGCCACGGATTTCTCTGCCTCTACGGTCCGTGACCTCACAGACAGTCCCTCCAGTAAAGTTCTGCCACTCTGCTTAGATCACTGCCACAGCCTCCCTGATTTTCTTCAGTTCCCTATCCCGGTGCCCTCCCGTCCTCCACACTGAAGCCACAGAGATCTTTCCAAAAGCCAATGTCCGCCCATGTATTCCTGCTGAAGGGAGCAAACCAGGGCTTGCTCATGAAATCCTGAACTTCTTCACTCTGCTGAGAAGGCTTGCCTTGACCTGGCCTCTGGGTCCCTCTCCAGCTTCTGTTTTAAGCAATTCTTTTGAACTTTCCCCTCTCTATTCTCAGCTCTTCAAACTCAGCTTCAGCCACACAGAACTGAAAAATCCCCCCTTCTGGGCTTCCCTGGTGACGCAGTGGTTGAGAGTCCGCCTGCCAATGCAGGGGACACGGGTTTGTGCCCCGGTCCGGGAGGATCCCACATGCCGCGGAGCGGCTGGGCCCGTGAGCCATGGCCGCTGCGCCTGCGCGTCCGGAGCCTGTGCTCCGCAACGGGAGAGGCCGCAGCAGTGAGAGGCCCGCGTACCGCAAAAAAAAACACAAAAAAACAAAACAACCCTTCCTTACACTTACACACACACACACACACACACACACACACACACGCGCGCGCGCACTCCGCTCTACATTTGTTCGTCCCACCACAGGCTCCCATGGTACTCTACACCAGTATTTAGAGCAGCAAATACAAAATACAAGTAAATATCTTTCCCGCAAGACGGTAAGCCACCTAAGGGCAAGGCCTGAGGATATCTTGTCCACTGTTGTGATGCCAATACGGGTATTCTGATCAACTCCCATGCACCCCACTGACGTGGGACGAATCCTCCACCTTAAATAGTACGTGGCTGAGCAGCCAGCCCCAGACCGATTATTAGCCATAAATACTCACAGAGGAGGGGAGGACACCTCAGGCCAGGCAGGACCACGCAAGGACTGCACTTGGGAGGAGAGAAAACCAGCAGGGACTGTGGGATTCAGGCTTTGTAGTGAAGAGTGAGGTAACCCTTTGTTCACGTGGAGGGATGTGATTGGCTTGTTTGAATAATTTCACGATTTGACGGGGAGGTGAAACCCATTAGGCTGAAGACCAGCTAAGGCGCAGCTGATTCTACTGATCAGGGAACTTGTCAGGGAGGGAGGCTTTCCTGCTGGGCTGGGGAGGTGGGGCGTATCTGGCAAGAACAGGGAAACTCACAGCTAGGCATTTGGGGCCGAAAGAGGCTCAAAGTTGTCAAGGCAGCACTTGAAATTTTAGATTTTACAATACAGAAGAGAGAAAAAGGGAAGAGGGGAAAGGAGGGAGGAAGGAAGAAAATTTCTCTTTATAGTCTGGCCTGACTTAATTCAGTGGTTACTGTGATAGACTATTTCAAGACCAAAAGTTAGGGTGACGTTTCAGTTACCACCTGGAGCACTTATTGATTGGCTGGCCCCAACCCCATTCCTAACCTCCTTTTCTTTATCTATTTTCCAGCCAGGTCTAGCACAAAGTGCTGGCCAACAGGACATGTGTAGAATCATGCTGTGGGATTTCCAGGAAAGTTTTTGCTGCTTGATTTAGGCAATATCCTTTTCTCCTTATTCCTCCTACTTTGTTCCTGCTGGGATGTAGATATGATGGCTAGAGCAGCAGCAGCCATCTTGTAGCCACCAGAAATAACCAGGAGAATCATAAAGATGTGCAACATCTCAAATAATTTGCCTTTTATTCATTACTTCTCAGGAAGCTTTTATGTAATTGGGTTTTACTTTTTTTCATTTAGGATTTAATCAAATATTTTTCATATGCCACTCAGTAGTCTTCAATAAGTATCACATTGTCCACATAGCAAGAACGAAAACAGGAAATGAGAAATGGAGTCATCAGTTGGGAAATCAGTGAAGCATAAAGTATGTTGTGTGGTTGCAATCCAGGATGAAGCCATGGACACTGAGTTGACACTAGGCCCTCTGTTACAGGATGCCTGCCTACAAGGTGGAAGTGGATACAAGAGGGCCCTCTTCAGCTAGATAATCTTACTCTTCATTTTTTCTAGCTATTTTTTCCAACTTTTGTATAGTGTAAAACTATTTCTATATGAAAAAATAAGGTTTAAAAACTGCTCTTACTGAAGTTGGGAGTAGGGTGGGGTGGGGTGGAACTGGCCCTATATTCTCTGTCCTTCCCTTCCTGCCCCAAGTGGCAGCCCTTGAGAATGTTCAGTGGATGTGAAGGGATCATAGACCATCCCACATCATTCCTCTGAGCCAAGCAAGGCAAGGGTAACTCACAGTCCTCTGAGAATCTGATGAAATCTACTGACCCTCTTCTTAGAGAAAAAAATGCCCACATAAAACTGCTCACAGTTTCAGAGGGTTAAGAATCCCACTTTTAAAACAACAGTGAGGGGCTTGGGCTTCCCTGGTTTGCACCTTGGTTAAGAATCCGCCTGCCAATGTAGGGGACACGGGTTCAAGCCCTGGTCTGGGAAGATCCCACATGCCGCAGAGCAACTAAGCCCATGCACCACAACTACTGAGCCTGCGCTCCAGAGCCCACGAACCACAACTACTGAGCCTGAGTGCCACAACTACTGAAGCCTGCACGCCTGGAGCCCGTGCTCTGCAACGAGAAGCCACCACAGTGAGAAGCCTGCACATCGCAACGAAGAGTAGCCCCCGCTAAACGCAACTAGAGAAAGCCCGCGTGCACCAACGAAGACCCAATGCAGCCAAAAAATAGAAATAAATTTACTTTTAAAAATTAAAAATAAAAACAACAGTGAAATTCAGGGGCCATAACTGCCTCTTTCTAATTTCCTTCTGCTACTTTTTTGCTGCTGTTTCTCTACTTGTATCAGTCTGTTCTTTGGAATTATATTCTTGGATCCCAGCCTATGACGGGACATCCAGATGTGCCAAGGGTCTCAGGAAGCGCAGAGGTAGAGTCACTGTGGGACGTTGTCTTCCTACCAGTGAAACTAAAGTTGCTTATATCCAACAAGAGTTAAAGATTAGGGATGAAGAAATTGGGTAAACATGACTGTGGATGGCCCCCAACTACGCTGAGTGCCCCATAATTCACATGGGAACTCTCCTTCCCCATCCAGGTGTTGTGAACCTCTGTCCTCACACAACTTCCCCCCAAAGAGTCCCCACGCTCTAGGGGACTCCTCACACTATAGAATATGCCAACTCTCTGGGATAGCCATCAGGCACACATCTGTTCCTCTCCTTTCTGGGCTTCATCCTGCTTTCCCCTGCAAGGATTCTATTTATCTTTCATCAAGCCTCACTCTACCTTTGTGAAGATGAGCTTTTTCCTGCATTGATCTTCATCTGGACTCAGTCCCCAGCTCCTAACCTGCTCATCGTCTGGGCTCCTCTGCAATTATATTCCTCCATGTGCAAAGTCAAAATTAGAGATGCATGGAATAATAGGCCAAGGAAGAAAGGCTACCAAGTGAATCAAAAAGCCAAGACCTAAACTTGATAGAACAGACAGTAAGTACTAATTGAGTTCAGAGGAAAGCAGAATTAACAAGGGCTGTGTAAAGCAGGGTAAGGGTCACAGTGATGCCTGGATTTAGGTGAAGCCTTGAAACTGCTAGGCTTTATTTAAGCATTTATAAAGCTTACCATGTGTTAAGCTCCGCACCAAATATCTCACTACAGAAGCTCTTTTAATCCTCACAGTATCTCAAGGGAGGAATTATTATTATGATTTTGCAGATGAGGAAACTGAAGCTCAGTATCACAGAGCTGGGATTTGACCCAGGTCCATCTGATGCCAACGCTTTTTATGGACTCCAGAACATGTGATTGATGGTGCCTGGCACATAGGAACTGCTCTACGAATATTTGTTAAATGCATGGAGTGAGAATTAATGAATGAAGCACTTATGTGAGAATGAGAAGGCTCATATATCTTGTCATGTGGATTATACATCCATGGTGGAGGGGGGAAGCTTCCATGCAGGAAGTGGTTGGTCAGCTACTGAATCACTGATACTTATTGAGCACTTACTATGTTCTAAGGGCTTTAACACTTCAGGACAATCCTCTGAGTCAACAGAAATATACTGAGCACTAGACACTCTGGCTGGCCCTGTTTTGGGCCCTGAGGATGGCAAATTACCCTCAGGCATTCTCAGCCCAAATGCAGAAGAAAGACCTGTACTATACCTCACACCACAGGTAGGGCTACCTGAGGGTTTAATTTACGTACTCTCCTCACCCTCTACAATCGTGAACAATCCATCAGGAGTTAGATTTCTTTGGCTCTGGAGATGTTAGAGTGGTCCATGGGCTCTGAACATAGCTGGAATCCACCCCCCCTTTCCCAGTTCTCACAAACTCCTCGTAATAGACTCCCATATAGTGCGAGTAATTTACAGTATAATGAATTTGTTCTATTCTGGTTCAGTCTGGGCACTGCGGCCCCTGGCTGCCTTCCTGTTGTTTTATTTACTCCTCAGCCATTCTCATTTTTGTAGCTATTCCCTTTAACTCTCTTTTTTCTGTAAGGTCATTCTAAGGACAGGATGTTGCAATGGCCAAGATGAGCTGTGAACGAGTGCAAGCCAGGTGTGTGTTGGTGATTCTCTCTCTTCTTTCGGGCTCTCTGAAATCTGGCGCATAAAGAAAAACATCACACGCTCGAGATTTAAAGCCGAAATTCCGATTTTGAGGTTGGTGTCATTCAGATGAATGCCCCTGAGCCCAGGCACAACAGAGCACTTACTGGGAGAGATAGGGTGATTCAGTGTCA